ATGGGGGGGAAAAAAAGAGGAACAAATGTAATCTGAACAATAAAGATTTAATAAAAAAAAAAAATTCAAGCTAGATCTCATGTTAAGTGTTCTTACCACAACAAAATTAAAAGAAATCTAAAGGCAAACTCCAGAGGAAAGGGTTGACAGTTGTTGCCTCTGGGGATAGTGATGGAGTAGCAGGGACTGGGTAGGAGACTAGTACTTGTCTAATAAGCCTTTCAGTAAAAACTGAATACGTGTATTTATTCTCTTCATAAAAATAAAAAAGCAACCTGTTCACATACTATCGGATAAATAGAAAATAATTGGTATGCTTCATTTTTCCAAAGGGCACCCTATTCTTCAATATCATACAGCCAACGATTATATTTTCAAAGTACTTTCATGTGTCAGATGAACAAAAAACAATTGCAGTGACCTACACGGTCTTATCCTAACTTTATAGACAAAATTAGAAAAGGAACTCCTTGCGGGACTGTGATAGGAACAAGGCCCCACACTGGATAAACCTTGGGCTGGAGTCTGGTTTCCGCAATCCAACCCTGGTGTCCCACTTTTCCAGCCGGCCCTGCTGTGCAGCCTCAGTCTGTGTCTCTCACACTCCCAACGACAGTCCCCTGCTCACTGCCATAGCAGTAACGGGTAAGGACAGCCTCCTTCCCCTCTTGAACCTCAGGAGGTGCCTGTCTCCTCCCTCTCTGAGATTCTCTGTCTCTTCTTCCCTGACTGCGGGTGACAATAACAATCGGGCAAGGCACTGAGCCACCTGCAACCGCACAGCAGTGACAGCATCTGAACAATGCCACGCCTGTGTCCTGCACAATGCTCTAAAGACCCAGGAAAGGCAAGTATCAGGAACTGTCCAAGGACAGAAATGTCATTAAAACAGAAACAAAAGGAGACACATGTAAAGCTTTAAATAAAAAAACTAAATAAATAAAAAAGATGTATACAGATTTCATAGAAAAAATGATTCTGATAAAATACTTTGATTTAAAAAACAACAGAAACAGAAATTTGTGTCCCATTCAACATGTAAAATTTGTACAAAAATATTGTCTTTGAAAATGATTTGTAATCTGTATACTTAATACCTGAGAGATGTCGTGATATGTGAATCCCATTTTTTGAAGTATGGGGTCTTCTTTCTCCAAATAGATCTGATCGTCAAAGTTAAAAAAAAACAACATGCTATTCTCTGAGACTGCAACTAAATTATGCAGCTCTGCTAGTGACCCTTTTTCATTGTATTTAGACCTGTTCTATTAGTTATTTTATAATATTTCTTCCAAAACACTTTCATACTTATATACCTAAGTAAATATGATATGAATTGCATAATATACAGTAATTATAACCCTGCACATATCATAAAATCCCCCTGAAAATTCAAGCACCCACCTGGTACCATACATAGATAATACAATATTACTGACTGATTACATGCTGTACTTTACAAACCCGTGACTATTTTGTAACTACCAATGTGTACCCCTTAATCCCTTCACCTTATTCACCCAGTCCCCACACACTCCTTCCATCTGGCAACCATCAGTTTGTTCTCTGCATCTAAGAGTCTGTTTCTATAAAAACAATAATTTGAAGTTGTGTTTTATTAAACTCTAGCCTCCCAATGCCTAACAAAAACAACTCCCAGAGATGTGATTAAATTCTAAACTGACCTAATAATCTGAAACAGGTGTTCTTTACATGGACCTTCAGAGGTTTTGTTTTGTTTTTCCAGAAATGTCTGACTCTATCAGATTTAGGAGTTGGTAAAAATTAATAATTTTAGCAATTTAAAGGGATTAAATATGGAATTAACTAGTTATCTATGAAAATAACAAGTCAACATGCATTCGACCTGGTACTACGCTTTTATTGGAACAAAAGATAGGAAGAGGTAAGAAATAAAATATAAATTGGAATAGGGCAAAAGTCTTCTTTCTCCTTTTATGTGATGCATATTTAAGTTGTACAGGTTGAGACCTACTTTGACATTTTCTTTAAAAAGAAAATCTTCTGACTTAAAAACAAACAAAAAACTTACACTTCATTAAAGAATGTAACTCTCACCCGGCCAGCGTGGCTCAGTGGTTGAGCATCGACCTATGAACCAGGAGGTCACGGTTGGATTCCCGGTCGGGTATATGCAGGCTCGATCCCCAGTGTGGGGTGTGCAGGAGGCAGCCAATCCATGATTCTCTCATCACTGATGTTTCTATCTCTCTAGCCCTCTCCCTTCCTCTCTGAAATCAATAAAAATATGTATTTAAAAAAAAGAATTTAACTCCCACTTCCATCACCCTTCCTTCTCTGCTTTATTATCCTCAGAACCTAATCATTTTTAATATACCACAGAATTTACTCACTCGTTTACCGTCTCTCTCGTCCACTGAACCTCAGGTCCAAGCAGCCACGGGTGTGTTTCTGCTTTGTTCATTGCTCTACCTCTCGAACCTAGAGATTTCTTTAGTAATTGAACACTTGCTCAATAAATGCTCACTACATGAATGAATGAGTAAATGAGTTAATGAACTGCCTTGAAAGGGTCCAGAAACTCCCTAAACTTATAGTAAAAGGGAATGTGATTATGTGCATGTGAATATTTCTGTAAGAAGAGGATCCACAGCTTTCATCAGATTTTCAAAAGGGGCCAGTATCCAAAAGAGCCTCAGGTGTCCTAGCCAGAGCACTAGAGTATATATACGGCCACTTGCTTGGCTAAGTAGATGCAATACTTCTAAATGACAGAGGTGTTTTCTGGTGGAGATGATGTGCTTGAAAGCTAGAGCGAGATTCGAAGAAACCCTGAGGACCATGTGGAGACGGACAAGGAGACTGATTAAGAATGTTAGGAAACTTTAAATTTGTCTTCTATGGGGGTCAACAGCCAGGATATTTCTGTACCAATCAGAGAATGTGAGATCTTCTTGGCTTACACTCTCATAATGTAATATGGCGAAATTAATGAGAGAAAAACTATTCACTCTCATTACTCTAAGGGAGGGCGCCTGGACACCTGAGCTAGTGGGCAGAGAAAATAATGAATGACCTGTGAAGACCTGGAGAGGCTAGCCCTCCCTCCTCCTGTCTCCTTTCCGGGGAATAGTTCAGGAATTGGGCATTTTCTCACATGTTCTTACCGAAAAGGGAGAAGAAAGCTTCCCTTGAATTATGGGCAAAAGTCCAACAGCCCTGTGCAAAGCCATCTCTGGTAAAAGGCCGCAGCTCTGTCATCACCGTGTCATCACAGGCCAGTGTGTGGAGGTAGGTGCCAAGAGGCAGCCATCTGAGACCACAAGAAAAGCCCCGCCCAGGACACTGCATTGGCGTGCTTGGAGCAGCAAGGAAAACCTAAGGAGCGATTTCAGACTTTCCTTCACCCCGGAATCAATGGGTGAACCGACCACGAAGCTATAAAGTAATTTGCTTCAGAGAACACATGAGCAGTATTGTTGTTAATCCCTAATTTTATATCTTTCAACTGTTCTCCAAAAACAAAATTGTTCGGGAAAGCTTCACACACACACACACACACACACACACACACACACACACACCCAGGCTAAGGACCACTGGCCTGGCGAGTTCTCAGAGTATCTCCAAATCATTAGACTGCAGAGATGTACATCTGTCTTCATGGGGTCACTCCCTTCCTCTTTGAAATGAAATCAAACTAAAGACACCACTGCTATCTCTGTATGTTTACAAGCTGTGGCTCAAAAAACAGGAAGAATTTACCCCAATATGCAGCCCACCCATCTTGGCCTCCTGCCCTAACCCTTCTCTTCACAGCTCAACTCCATGCTTATTTCTCTTCATATGGGGTTCTCCAGAAAGAGATTTTTCTTGTTCCTCTCATCCTCAAAGTTGAAACACATAACAAGGTTTTATCTATTAATGTCATAACTCATTCTAAAAAAGTGCTGGTAAGATATTCACGTTAATCAATTCTGTCTACTAGGATTAATACTGTGAACATTACTTAGCATCAAAATGACAATGTCAGTTTTTTATCCCATATCCTTTAAAGAAAAGTAGACACACATACCCAGATAAAATATTTACCACCACCACACCCATCCATCCACCCACTGCCCCTCCTCCCTCTCCTCACTGCAGATCAGGCCTTCAGGGCCCCCACTCTTTTCAACCCATCCCCCACTCCCAACGTCAAGTTCTCTATCTCTCAACTCCTCATAAAGCCTGAGGTTGATGGAAGAGTGGCCAGGGGAGATAGGACAGAGGAGAGGGAAAGGAATCTAAGAGAGGAGAAAAGAGAAAAAGGTGCTACTGTAATTGGGAGCCACCCACCCCTGCCAAAGTATAATCTGATTCAGCTAATAAACCTTATGCCAAATGTTAGTAAGTTTTAGTCTAAGTAAAACCAGCATGTTTAAAGGCCAATAATTTATTGACAATTTTTAAAGATCTGAAAAGGTTATCTGAAGATTTCTTTTATAGCTTTAGCAGCTTTATCCAAGGATGAAAAACCAAGTGCTCTTGGGCCACACCTTAACTCTCAACTCTCAGAAGACATATTCCAAACACACGTCAGGTTATTCCTTTCTGGAACATGTCATGCACTTTCTTACCTTTGTGACCTTCTCCATGCCACCTAGAAAACCACTGCCAAAATATTTTTTATCTCTCGAGGCCCATGTCAAATATCAGTTCCTCCCTGAAGCCATTTCCTGCCCCACCAGTAAGAATTAATTGTTTCCTTTCTTGTACCTCTAAAGCATTCTGCTCCTACCTCTAGTTGCCATCAGATCAGTGCTAAGCTGGTTATTCACATATGTACTCCACTGCTACGCCATGAATTTGAGGGCACCTTATTTACTTTATCTCCCCAGAACCTAGCCCTCTGCTTTATCACATTAAAGTGGCTCAACTAACTAACCTGAGTGTCATAATACAATTCACAGCAAAGTTAAGTTATATATGTGCGTGTATAGAGAAAGTACACAACACGCGAAAGGGCCAAACGCTACCTCTTTGGAACTCGGAATGCTGCTGTGATCTTTTTCCATTATCAGCCATCTGAGGATATTTGGGATAGAGAGACTTTTCCATGTTGGCCAAGGATTCACAAATCGCCCATCCTTCCCTCTCCTTGATTTAGTTACATCTTCCTCTAGTCTGTAATCCAGTTTGAAACTTTTCCTGGAAAACCTAGAAGAAGTACTTCCTCCAGAATTCCGTGCAGAATTTTGGCGTTTTCTTACTACTTCTTTAGGATATTGGCTGCTTGTCATCAGGGACTGGTTGCTTTCATTTTCATCCATGTCCTTTGGAGAACTAAAAAAGAGGAGGAAAAATACTGAGTTTACTATAAAGGCATTAAAACATATTACATAGTGTATTTCTTAGCCAATAAAAATTTCCTCAAAGTTATAAAAATATTATGTCCCTACTAACTCAAATTTTCTTCTTGTAAAATGCAAGTTTAGAATCCAGTATTACTGCATGCTAAATAGAAAAGATGTTTACCTATTCCTGCCAAACCTTTTAAAGTCCTTATCAGCAGTAATCAAAAACAATCTAGTCCACCAGCCAGCATTTAAACATGAAATTTTCCATTTTGATGACATCTTGTAGAATAAATTAAAGCACCTTCATGAATCTGTAATATTTTCATACCTGAATTGTAAAAATATTATTGTTAATAACCTAGTAAGGAATACCGTATTTCCTTGAGGATACCTCAGTAATTCAAGTGATTTACATAAGACCCACTAGGCCTAGTCATTTTTCATTTGAAGATCATCTGTTTCCATGCCCCCTGAAAAGTGCAATGAGTCCAAATCACAAGAAAGGAGAAAAACAACATATTCAGAGACATTTTTAAAAAGTAAGAGTGAACAATACAAATTTGAATGAACTCAGATTTAAAACTGCAAAGTCAGTGTGTAGCCTAGGTAAATTTCCTGATCTCTCGTGTATAAAATGGAGATAATAAGATTTCCTGCTTGTGGGGTTTATTGAGAGGATCTGAAAAGCTAATACAAGTAAAATACTTAGCAATGTGTATACAACAAATGTAACACACATGTATGCACATGATGACAACGGTTGTTGCTGACCTTGTTATTACTGCTGCCACCACCACCACTTAACCCTTGATTTTGAACTACATATACAGGGCTCCAAACACAAAAATGATAAACAATATACTAAGAATATGCATTCATCTGCCATGAATTTCATTTCTTTCCTATTTCCTAAACAAATATTTGCTTTCTTTCTAGTTTAAATACAATGCATACACTTAATACACTATAATCCTAAGGAAATAAGCACAATAACGGAAAGCCAGATATTATTTCTATGACTTCAGTAGTGTTTAAATAGAAATATGATCCTGGAGAGAAAGGGAAAGAACAAACCCTAGGATGAAAACATTCACTGAACCAAACTTTTTTTTTTTTTTTCAAACTGTTAGGAGGAGTAAGTAGTCTGCAGTCTAGAGAATAATCAGGGTTCAGAAAAGAAACCACAGCTGACAAAAGCACTCGCTGCTGCTCAGCCTTCTCTGTTTGTGGGAGATCCTAGGAGCTAAGAGAGTCTAATGAGTTTTATATCTTGGGCAAATAACCTTTCTAGCCCTCAATTTTCTCATCTATTAAATCCCTACTTACCTCATAGGGGTTTCAGATGATTAAATGACATAACACACATAAAGTGCTTGTCATTCACCAAATGTTAATTCTTTTTTTTCCCTTTTCCCAGCTAACTGGCCACTCATCTAAATTCTTTAAATTCTATTAGAAAGCAAAGGGTCTGGTTGAGTTATGCCCATTCTTCTCACAGAATTGCTCCACCCGGGTTATTAAGTTCAGGCCCAGGCCTTTACAAAAGGCAGAAACAAAGACTGCCATCCATTTTAACCCCACTTCTATTAACAAAGGTAAACATACAAGTTTAGAGACTAAGTAATTCCCAAGATAATAGGTCTAAAAGATGGGAGAGCAGTTTGTGAGATACGTGCATAAGCCTGCATATATACACATATATTCATAGACAGGGTGCCTCCAAAAAATGTATACACACTTTAACAACTGACAGCTCAATTTTCAAAATGAAATGTATTTTAATAAACACTGTCTTTATAATTATTCAAAGTGTATGTATACTTTTTTTGACACTCTGTATATATAAATACATATGTAAGTCTACCAACTATATAATAAATGTTGGGCTCATTATTTTAAACCATCAGAGGATAGGGAGAAAGGGTACTTGGAATCAAAAACCACAAAAACAAAGTCAAAATAGGGCTTTTAGGCAGCATCCACTTGTCTAAAGCTGGGACATAAGAAGCAAGAAAGGCTTGTGAGAGTCGAGATGGTAAAGGTGTAAAGGAGGGGATCATTAGGCAGAACTCACACAACTAAACAGCAAAAAAACAAATAACCCAATTAAAAATGGGCAAAGGACCTGATTAGACACTTCAAAGAAGATATACGCAAATTAAAATCACAAATGAGATATAATCTCACACGTTAGAATGACCATCAACAAAAACACAAGAGATAACTAATACTAATGCGGATGTGGAGAAAAGTGAAGCCTTGTACATTGTGGTGGGTATGTAAATTGGTGCAGCCACTATGAAAACAGTATAGAGGATCCTCAAAAAATTAAAAATAGAACTACCATATGATCCAGCAATTCTACTTCTGGGACTATGTCCAAAGGAAATAAAAACACTAATTTGAGCCCTGACATGTTGCTCAGTGATTAGAGCTTCAGCCCTTGGACCAAAGGGTCTTGGGTATGGTAGTAATTTTGGCCAAGGGCATGTACCAAGGTTACAAGTTCAATCCCCAGTCCGTGTGGAAGGCAACCAGTCTATGTGTCTGTTTCACATGGATGCCTCAATGTCTCTCTCTCTCTCTCTCTCTCTCTCTCTCTCTCCCTCTCTCTCTGCCTCTCCTCCCTCCCTTCCACTCTCTCTCTAAAGATCAATGGGAAAAATATCCTCGGTGAGGATTAAAAACAAAGAAACAAGCAAAAAAACCCACACATTTTAATTTGAAAATATATCTGCACACCCCCATGTTCATGGCAGCATTATTTACAGCAGCCAAGACATGGAAACCACCTAAGTGTCCATCGATGGATGAATGCATAAAGAAGTTGTGGCATGTACATATAATGAAATATTTATTCAGCCATAAAAAATGAAGAAATCCTACCATTTGTGACAACATGAGTGGACCTGAAGGCACTATGATAAATGAAATAAGTCAGACAGAGAAAGCCAAATACTGGATGATCTCATTTATAAGTGGAACTTTTTAAAAAACCCAAACTCCTAGAAAAGGAGTAGGGGGGAGGGAAATTGGAGGATAAAAGGTACAAATTTCCAGTTATAAGATAAATAAGTACTAGGGATGTAATGATGAAAAACATGATGACTATAGTTAACACTGCTGTAAGATAAATAGGAAATTTGTTAAGAGTATCTAAGAAAGTTTTTTCTATTTTATTTTTTAAAACTTTTTTTAAATGCTCACCTGAGGGCAAGTTTTTAGAGGAGAAGGGAGGGAGGGAGGGGAAGAGAGGGAGAGAAGGAGAGAGAAAAGAGAGGGAGGGGAAGAGAAAGAGAAACATTGATAGGCTGCCTCCCATACACACCAATCAGGGATCGAATCTGCAACCTTCTGGATGATGCTCCAGCCCACTGGGCCACACCAGCCTGGGAACGTTTTTATTTTTACTGTATCTAGCAGGCAGACAGCCATGAGCCAAGCAAGGACCAGGGGCTAGATACTAAAGGTCACAAGCCCTGGGTGTCCAGCAACTGACAATTGTAGTGTGAGACCTCACCCCCAGGGTGGCCTTTCCTCCCCTAGCATATCACTAGTCATGTGGTTTGGAGCCCCTGACTTCATATCGCTGGTCATTTGCTGGTCATTTGGTTTCAACCCATTGACATTTCCTCCCTAGAGATAGCATCTAGCCTCGGTTGTGTTTCAGCTCCAGGCCCAGAAAAGCAGCAAAAACAGACAAGTGACGCCATGGCTGACCTCAGGACGAGGTGCATTGACTATGGACCCCCTGCCCTGGCACCAATCAGTGAAGATCAGGACCCTGAAAGGACACACCTGGAAAGCTGCTGAATTTTCTATTGAGATCTTCCCCCTGGGACCACCCCTAAGAACCCCACCCTTAAACCCGTAAGGTGTGGACCCAGCTTGCTCCCTCCTGGGAGCACACCCATGCCTTTCCCTCCTCCTCCCTCTCCCCATCTTCCAAAGCGCCTCACCTTGTTCTTCCTCACTTCTAAGCTCCAAGGGCCCTTCCTTTGCCTCTATAACTTGTTTCCTAAGCCCATTTCTTCTACAAATTACTACTTCTACCGCTGTGATTTTCTAAATAAGTGTTCTCCTATAGTTTGACTCTTGGCTCTAAATTCTTTTTTTTAGCCAGAACTCAAGTACCAACGTTACTAAACCCAGTTCTGGTCGGACCCCACCAGTCAGACACTTGGTGCCGTTCTCACCAATGCCAATATATCCATAAGATAAATATTAGCTGAACATATTGTGGTAATCACTTCACAATACCTGTAAATCAAACCATCATGCTGTACGTCTTAAACTTATACAGTGATGTCAATTATTTCTCAATAAAACTAGTGGGAGGGAGAATGCCAAGATGTAGTAAATCATAAAAGCACCTCAAGTATGGATATAATTGAAATCTCACTACCAAGAAAAGAAGCACAAAGGATTTAAAACATTTGAAAATAAATACTTCTCAACTTGGCACCCTTGTCCTTTTTAAGTCTTTGTTTCCTTGTCTGGTGCCTATTCCTGGGTTGCTGGACAAGATGTACATAATCTTTAGCCAGAGTGTGGCACACACACAGCCTCAATGACTGTAAGCCGCTGTTCTAGTATGTTCTAAACACTGTGTAGTAAGGTTAGTGGGACACATATTCCATTTTGAAATTTCTACATGGAGGGCAATAGCATGAATAAACTGAAATGGAATGAACTCTGGAATGTGTTTTTTGTTCTTCTATTTGAGTAAGAGAAGCCCTGGTCTTCCTGGAATTCACACAAATAGGAAACCACAATTCCCCACAGGAACCTATACAACCCCACAGGTCCTTGCAGCCTCACCAATTCCCCTGGATTCGCCAGGAGGTCCTCATAAGTCTTGATAGTGTCCTGTTCTGAAAACAATAATGTTCTCCCCTTACTGCCCCCACAGAGAGCAAACATGTGCAAACTCAGGATACTAACAGCAGCCACATCTACAACCAGCTCTGCCCCCAGAGCTTGAGCCCATTACCAAGATTCTTCGCATCAAAGGAAAAATTTCCTACAACAGGAACAGGCAAAATAGGCAAGCAAGGGCAGTTCTAGCTAAATGTCCCCTAAAGCAGCAGTCGCCAACCGTTCGGACCTCACGGACCACTGGTTGACGACCGCTGCTCCAAACGTTTCCTTAGCATTAGTGTTTTACATCTCCTACTCAAGTGACTTGACTAATCTCAAAACTCTCCCAATTCCCTTTCAGTCATCAAAACATTTTCAAGGAAGGGTCTGATCTCCAGTATGCCTGATAAGGACCAATCGGGACTCCTCCCTAGAGAAGGACAGCTGGGTGCAAAGCTTTAAACCTGTGATTCTCAATGCTGGCTGCACATGAGAATTACAGATGCTCCTCAACTTACACTAGGATTACATCCAAATAAGCCTATTGTAAATTGAAAATATCAGAAGTCGAAAACACATTTAATACACCAATCGAACATCATAGCTTAACCTGGGCTACCTTAAACGTGCTCAGACACATTTCCCTACAGCTGGGCAAAATCATCTAACACAAAGCCTATTTTATAATAAAGTGTTGAATATCTCATGTAACTTATTGAATACTGTACTGAAAGTGAAAAACAGAATGGTTGGTTGAGTACTCACCATTAATGTACACAGCTGAAAGCACACTGACCCTAAAGAATGTTTGAGGCGCCCTAACCAGTTTTGCTCAGTGGATAGAGCGTCGGCCTGCGGACGGAAGGGTCCCAGGTTGATTACGGTCAAGGGCATGTACCTTGGTTGTGGGCACATCCCCAGTAGGAGGTGTGCAGGAGGCAGCTGATTGATGTTTCTCTCTCATTGGTGTTTCTAACTCTCTATTCCTCTCCCTTCCTCTCTGTAAAAAATCAGTAAAATATATTTTTTTAAAAAAGAATGTTTGAGGCACTGAAATAAACAAACAAACAAAAAAGCTGACAACACAGTACACTGTAGAGCCTCGGATGTTTACCCTCATGATTGGGTGGCTGACTGGGAGCTATGCTTCTGCCCAGCATCAAAAAA